GAATTCCAAGTTCCAAATTTTCTTTTGGAGGGGTCTGTTCTTGCTTCTCCCCGTAATCGCCAAACAAGGTCAGCAACTCTAAGTGTGGGTGGCCGGACCGGGGTCGTGCTTTGCTTGTGGTTTGTCGTGAATTGCCTTGCGGAACTCGGCATGCTCCTCCATCTGGATGTACCCAGCAGCGCGAGCTCGGAGCTCGTCCATATCGTGAGGGGCCTCACGGTATAAGCTGTCGATAAAGGGCCCGGACTTGAGTGCCATGAGCATGGCATGCAGGGCGACCTTGGGGTTAAGATTTCTGATCTTAACCGAGGTGGCTGCAAATCGCTCCATGAACGCCCGAAGTGGCTCGTTGTCGTTCTGTCTGAGGCTGGCCAGGGCGACCGAAGTGATGTGGTGAGGTCGGCTCGTTGCATACTGCGTTATGAACCGCCTGACCAGAGTGCTGAAGCTGTCGATTGACTCGGCAGGTAACTGGGTGTACCAGTTGAGCGCGGCTCCTTTGAGCGAGGTCAAAAAAACCCTACACAGAATAGCATTGTTATTGGTGTAGAGGTTTACCTGTGTGGTATATAGGTCAATATGCTCATCGGGGTCCGTCGTGCCATCATAGCGATCGAGGTGGAGAGGCTTCCACCCCTGAGGGAGTGGTGTCTCCATGATGCCGTCCACAAAGGGATGACGGTGAAAGGTTGCTTGACCCCCTGTGACATGAGTTGGGGCTTTGCTGACTTCATGGACCGATTTGTTCGTCGGAACATGAGACCGATGCGTGGCAGGTCGTGGAGTCGGTGCCCTAGTCGCAGTTCGGGGCTGAGAGACCGAGTGCCCTTCTTCCTCGTGGAGGTTGCTCGCCTCAGGAGGATGATCAGAGGGGCGCCGAGGAAGCTGGGCGCGAATCCGCTCGTTTTCAGCGTGTAGCGCTGCCAGATCTGCTTCATTGGTGGTCCGCATCGCAGCTAGGTCGGTTTCGTGCTAGGCACGCATGTTTCGCAGATCGGCGTCGTGTTGTTGCCGCATCTGTTCGACCTGGTCGATCAGTCTCCTCAATGTGGCTTCGTTGTCCATGGTAGTTGAGTGGTTTGCGTCGTCTGTTGCGCGTCTGCTATGGCTTCTGGTGAATACCATAAGCGTGGCCAATAAAAGCTATCTTGATCGGCCCCATGGTGGGCGCCAAATGTTCTTACCGGAAATCTGCTGTAGAGATGATCCTCCGAGTAAGATTTGTGAGCCTCCTTCGCTGGTACGCTTGATGCTCCAAGATGGGGGTGGTACCTGCAAAAGAGACTCCGATGCTAAAGTTAGTGTTTGTGGGTGTATGAGTCTCGTATAAGTAATGCACGTACCTT